TGTTATGATAACTCGTAATGTTGAATTTACTACAGCTGACCTGGCAACTAAACGGGTCACGGAAAGACATTTCCTTGAACTATACCCCTCACGGGTAAGAAGGCAAGGCCGCACAAATGTGTGGTTAAAAAAAAGGGCCAAAGAAAATACACAATATTGGAGCGGAGAATGGTGAACGTGGGGCACCGTTGGGTTATACGAATGCTTCAAGGCCTTCCTTCTACTAAACCAACTGCCTCCATTACCGAGATACAGGGCGCTCATATTATAAGGTAAGGTTATAAAACCACCATTTAAGATCATTTTAGTGAAAGTTTCATGTTCCTATCTCATAGAATTTAAGAACAATGATGAATAAATAATTTTCGAGCAAAATTTAAATGGCCGGCTGAATATATTACCGCAGGAGCCGCGGCCGCGGAATTTAAATGACCACGTCAAAGGGCTAATCCAGAAATGTAGTATCATGTAATTTTTCAAGAAGTAAATTTGTGTTCTGTTTGGTTATGCTAGAATTATTTAACTGTCATCTATAACCATTAATAAGTAATACAAAATGGCTTTTAGCTTTCCAGTGCTGTAGTTCCAGGATGTGTTCTTGCCTGTAGGTTAAGAAGAAGCTGTTCTACAATATTCATATTTGTAAAAGTATGTCTTCTACAGCCATATAAATTCATAGACATTCATTGCTCAGTTGTTGGGGTAGTGTTTCAGTCAAAGGAGAAGGTCGCTGATAGCACCAGATGGAATTATTAAGTTCCACCAAAATGACGAGCTTCTTGTAATACAACATGGTGGTACTATCCAAAAGCTTATATGCTATACTAACAGAGTTTAACCCTTTGACGTGGTCATTTAAATTCCGCGGCCGCGGCTCCTGCGGTAATATATTCAGCCGGCCATTTAAATTTTGCTCGAAAATTATTTATTCATCATTGTTCTTAAATTCTATGAGATAGGAACATGAAACTTTCACTAAAATGATCTTAAATGGTGGTTTTATAACCTTACCTTATAATATGGGCGCCCTGTATCTCGGCCATGGAAGCAGGTTGTTTAGTATTTCAGCAGTGAATGGTACGCCTTGAAGGATGAAACTTTCACTAAAATGATCTTAAAAGGTGGTTTTATAACCTTACCTTATAATATGAGCGCCCTGTATCTCGGTAATGGAGGCAGTTGGTTTAGTAGAAGGAAGGCCTTGAAGCATTCGTATAACCCAACGGTGCCCCACGTTCACCATTCTCCGCTCCAATATTGTGTATTTTTTTTGGCCCTTTTTTTTAACCACACATATGTGCGGCCTTGCCTTCTTACCCGTGAGGGGTATACTTCAAGGAAATGTCTTTCCGTGACCCGTTTAGTTGCCAGGTCAGCTGTAGTAAATTCAACGTTACGAGTTATCATAACAAGGGGTTGTTGCTATGCCTTTGATATTCCATCCATTTTGGCGGCAGGAGATGTCGTAGGGGTGACCACAGAATTCATGAAGTTATTCTAAGAACTGTCTGGTATGTAGTGAACGAAAGTAGAGCTTAGCTGGCTCAAAAAAATATTTATGGTCATCCCTCGAAACGACCACCAAGGTCAGTACGATAAAATGGAGTCAACTGGAGCGATAATACATGAAGGAATGAGTTCTTTTCCCTCCCCCACACACATCCGTATCGTCTCAGGGGGTGACCACAGTGTTCTGCCTTAAATTGTGGCGTTTTTCTAAGAACTGGGCCTTTGTACTGTGCGAAATCAATGGATCATGCGAGAATAAAGGTTCGGATATCCCTCTTCTAAGAATTCCAATTGAGTGTGTTATTGTCGCCAGCTCAGGGCAATATGATATTATAAACACCAGCACATATCACATCTCTGGTGTTTATAGCTTCAGAGCAATGAAAACACATCATTCATAACAGAAACAGCTCGCAATAGCCACAGGAACGTTGCTGCAAGACAGGCATATGTAACAACGACTTAGCGCTCTTAAACGCGTGTGTCATTAAATACAGTCCTCCTGACAACAGGCCAGTGAAAAATCTAACAATCTACAGCAAAACCATCAATTATTATGGGCGTTATAACATATGTGTGCAGCTGGACGAAACATACACGTCGAACCCCCCCAGACGATTTAAATCCCTGACGAAACATACACGTCGAACCACGGCAACGGGTTAAAGCCCTGCATCATGAATAGTTGCATTGATATAGGAAAGATTTTTTTTCAGAGCCTTGGAAATTAATTTTTCTTTGATGTCAGAATGTTAGTACAGTGATTAATATATTCATGAAATTGTTTAAATATCTGGAGTTTAATATGACCATGCATCCAAAAGAAGTTTGCTTGCTTACATTAAACCGTATGCCCTTGGTTTTTATAATCATATGTACCAAACATTTTTCAGTCTGCTGGAAAACTGAGTGGTAATGAAACAGCCCCATCTTCAAAGAAAGAAGCGACTACTTCATCAGCAAAACGAGTCAAAATATCAACCAATCCAGCTATTGGACCAGTGCTATCAAACCAGTCACCAGCAGCAGAAATGAAGCCACCGCAGGCAGAAACTGTTGATATACATGGACATTTTATGAAAGCAAAGCTGACAGAGTATGAAATGTATGGAGGAAGTGGAAGCCAAATTACTAAGCAGTTAAGCAATGAAAGTGATTTACATTATGGTAACCTACAAAAGGAAGGCGGTACAAAGAAATTGGTCATGTCTGATAGTCTAGATCTCTATGTTGAGAACATTCCTTCAAAGAAGTCAGTTCGTGGAGCCAACAGTAAAATGGAGACAGAAGATACTGTGTGCCAGTCGCCCTCTATTCTGGGACTGCCCTTGAGCATTGACAACTCTGCTACCACTGGAACGAAGGTGAAAATTGAACGGGAACCACATAACAATGAAGGATCAGGACATGCCAGGATCTCTCCTGATTTGGCTTCTGTTCTGAAAAGGGCAGCAGGTATTGAAGATATGGAATTGGGCAGTTCTGATAATTCTGCTGTTCATGGTGAGTGTCTTTAATCGTACAGTACTTTTGTTTTCATATTGTTACGTAATAGTGACTACACAAAGGGTTCAGGTTGGAAATGGATTGTACTGTGCATTGAATATTCTTATTACTAAATGTTTACAAATAATCACAGGTTGTTAGATTGTTCTTGCTTGGATCCTTTGTGCCCCGTCATGACAGACATATTGCTAGGTTGCAGGCTTAGATACCTGGAATAATAACTTACCTGGCATGCTTCTTTGTATTGAATTCTGTCAGACTGTGAGGACAATTCAAGTTTGAGGGGGTTTCTCAGCTGTGGTGGGTGTGGTATGTTTGTTGTGTTTTTTTACTATAATGAATGTTTTCATGACTCCTGTGATTCCAAGATTCTGAAGTTTCTGATTTTGGATGTCATGCCATATTGCTTCCTCTTTAAGACTGCTCATCCCAAGAAGCTTCCAGGCATACTACCGTTACTTTCACTCTGAGGGATCTCTCTTCTATGTCTGTGGCCGCCCTTATGAATGGAACCACAGTGCCATATTGCCCCCAACTCTTGTCCTTACGCTTTGGATGGTGTGCAGCCTTCATTCCTTGTAGAATCAGCTCTATGCCACTATCATGCATACTCCCTCTTAGGGAGGTATGTCCCTCCTGACATGGCTCTCTAGAAGGTGTGCCTCTGTTAGTGTCTTTCCACTGCAGGTAGTCGCCAGTCATCCTAACAGGGAATTAGTTCCCTTGGTGGTTAATCCAACATTGTCAACCTGGACATTCCAACACTGGGTGGCCTTGAATGTGGACTTGCTATGCTGTCCACCACCTCCAGGGGGCCTTCCAGCCATGCCATCATGACTCACCCATACCTAGCTGATACCACCTGATATAGGGGCACAAATGTGGTCTCCCCCAGGATGCGATAGTGACACATCTTCCTTGCCCAGCCGTAGAACATGGACTCCAAAATCCAGACACATCATGGGCACATGAGATTTCCATCTCCAAGATGAACAGTTTGGTGATCTTGGCAACGAGCACCCAAGTCCTGAGAGGGTGCCACCACATGGTCATTTTTACCGTGTCCTTCAAGACATGGAAGGGTCTCCTCTGACACCATCTGCAATACATAAAGCAGGGTTTGTTCTCCCTTAGGCAGTCCTTTAGTGATGTCTAGCCTGGTGATTGTCACAGATGCTCCTGTGTAAGTGGTCTTGATGTATAACTTGTCCTCTTGGCACTTATTCTGTCATTGCCCATCTGTGCAGACATAAATATGTATAGAAGGAGTGGGAATGATGGTATCAGTGCTCTTTTAGCACTGTCCCCCACTCATTTCCCCATTCCCAGTCATCTTCCACCCAGGCGATCATTTTGGCAGTTTCTTCCAAGATGGCCATCACTCACACATTGCCAGCATATGGGTTGCTGAGACCTGTGGTGCTTGGCCGCTGGCAACCATGTTCCCATGGGGGTCTGACTCTTATGACTTGCAAGTTCATTAGCAGTCCTGCCACCACCAGTTGTGTCCTGCATTCCTGTTGTGTCTCTTGTATCTTGTCTTGGCCTATGATTGCCATGGCCATCTGGCCTTCTTGCGTGGCCCTTATTTTTTCTTAGCTAACCTCAAGCCAATCCAGCCTGTCTGTACAGGATTCATTTCCAGTCCACAATCTGAGAATCCCACTTCTGACATCAGTGTTACATGATAGTGACTACACAACAGGTTTGGGTTGGAAATTGATTTTATTGGACACTGAATACTCTTATCTACAGCTGTTTACATATAATCACAGTTGTTCACAGGCTGTTAGATTGTTCTTGCTTGGATACTGGGTGCCCTGTCATCACAGACCCTTTGATAGATTGCAGGCTGAGATAATGGGAACATTGACTTGTCTGGCATGCTTCTTTACATGGCTTTCTCATGGGCTACTGAGACAGAGTTGATTCTAAGGGTACGGCCTGAGTGCAGCGGGGCAGGGCAGGGCATGCAGTGTGCATCACAAACCCGTTTGAATATATTGGCGTGTCCTGGGAGCAAGCGTTTTGAGCGGAGCAGGCAGTGTGCATCGTGCAGGTCAAACCAGTTTGTGTTTCAGTAGTGTTTGGAGCATTTGGAAAATGTCTTTTGAGGAAATAATTTCAGAAGTTCAAGGAAAACCTGAAATCTGGCTCTCTTGCCATCCATTATACAAAAGCAGGGCAACAGTGAAGAATGAAATTGCAGTAAAACTTGGGATGAAACAGAATGAGATTGCAGTAAAACTTTGGATGGAAAGTATTTACATTTTTATTTTATAATGCTCTTATGTTTTCTAAAAGAATATGTATAAACATGTCCATTGTTCGTTGCTACATGTTATTTAATTACATCTGACATTTCACAAAAAAATAGTTTATGAACATGTCTCATACATTTGTTGCTATGAAAGAAGCACTGTTATTGCGCATACCGAACCCCGTATTACGAATACTTTCACAGTCCTCACTGTTCATTGTGGCATTGTACTGTGTGTCACTATTTCTGTCAAGATCTCTGATGAGCTGTGCAAAATACACATAGCTTTTATTATGAGGCACACATGTTCCACGTTGGTTTCTATTGGTTTCCCTAGTATACGCCACTTGGCATACAAAATTCTGAAAACACATTCTATACACTACCTGGCATGAGAAAGACACTTAATTGAAGTACCTTCTTTCATCATTCAAAGATCTTTCTGGAAATGGATGCATCAAATTTGTCTTCAAGGGGTATGCCTCATCTCCAATGAAAATGTACGGCAAAGAACATGTAGTTCCAGGAATTATGTCTGGTGGTGGAATGTTAAATCTTCCACTTTCCATTAATTTATTCAAAACTAAGTAGTGAAAAGTCCCTCCATCACTTTGTTTCCCTCTTCCACCTACTTCTATTGCTATAAATCTTTTATTTGCATCAGCAACGCCCTGCACTATTACTGAGAAATAATTTTTATAATTGTAATATGTCCATCCAGAATGGGCTGGACAAATTATTTCACAGTGCTTCCCATCAATTGCACCAATACAGTTTGGAAATTGCCACAGTCTGTTAAAATCCCTTGCAGTTTCCTTTAGGTCATCCTTCGATGGCTGTGGCATGTGTATGCTAACAAATTCTGACCATAATTCAGAACATATTTCATAAACTATCGTAGCCACAGTTGTTTTTCCCCATACAAAAATTAAAAGCCAAAGCTCTGAATGCCACTCCTGTAGCAAGATACCTGCAAAAAAACACAATTTAGTGTTCTAAATTTAAGAGGAAATGCCAAGAAAGGCGATGGAAACGTCTGAAAGATCAATATAGAAAAGAGTTGAAGAAGCAACCCATTTCTACGTCTGGAGCAGAAGCACCTGCATACTTCACATCTTCATGGCAGTATTTCCAACTCATGCCATTTATGAAGGATGAATTAATACCAGCAGAGACCATGGGTAATTTAGATAGTAGTGAAAATGACATGCAAGACACACAGAGCCTTTCTCCCATGAACCAAGATGATTTGGATTCGGAGATACAGTCTTCAGCATCTCATGTGACACCATCATCATCATCATCATCATCATCATCATCATCATTCGTATCCAGGAAACAAACGGCTAATACTCTTAGGGAAGATATGTTAGCATTAGAAAAGGAGAAAATTCTTCTAATAGAAATGTGTCTGTCAGAAAGTGAGATCGACAGGAAACTGAAGACAGATGAAGATTATCTGTTTTTAATAAGCATCTTGTCAGCAATGAAAAAATTGACCAATATTCAGGAACTACATTTTCAAGGCCAAATCAATGAATGGTTGCTAGAAGCAGTTACACAGAACCAATATTCTTACACTTATGGAAACAGCCAAGGAGGTTATTTTACTGAGGTTGTACAGAATCGAGTTGCAGAAACATATGCACATGTAACAGACACTCTTCAATAGACTGATGTACTACATTTTTACTCACCTCAAAGTTACAGTAAATTTTTCTGTAGGAGATATTGTGACATGAAAGTTGGTGTCAGTCACTTTCAAACGTGACTCAGATTTTTGTAATACATAGTCAAAAGTGGATACAGACATTCTTGTATATTCTTGAAATTTAACAGGCTCTGTTCTTAAACTTTCATATAATGTATTAAACTCACCAGACAGTTTTCTTTGTTTTACTACAACACTTGGACCCTTCTTTTCACTGAATAAATTAGCTTTAAGAATTGTATTCTATTCTAAAATAATATCAAGTAATAAGTCATCTAAATCCATTTTCTATGAAAACTGTGACCTTAACACACACCTGAAAATGCTGAACACTAGAGGTGCACTGAGGACGCAGTAGCGGCCGCTGCTGTCCCTGCCATAAAGTTGCCCACACTCCGCTCCACGCCCCAATGCACTCAGGCCATACCCTAAGGATTCGTCAACTGTGGTGGGCCTGTCTGTTGCCCAGGATGTGTTTAACTTTGCATTACATAATGGTGAACATCTCCATGATCTTTTTGTGATTTAAAGATTCTGAAGTTTCAGGATTTTACGCATCATGCGTAAGAAGTTGAATAAGAGCAGAAGGGTATCTTATATTCCTGAGTAGACAGTTTCCAAAAGTGTTGCTTGTGGTTTTACAGCTCTATAGTTTATAAGATGTATAAGTTTGTGACAGTGATATGTCAATACAAGTACTGTATTTTTGGACTTTAGTCAGTCTCTGAAATGTTGTGTTTCAAACAGAAAACAGGATGATGGGTAATGTCCAGAAACACAGTAATTATATCTATAGTTTATATTTAAATGTATGTACTGAATATTATTGGTGAACATAATCAGGAAGAAAGGTAATTGCAGTACAGAGAGCCTTTTGTGTCTGTTTTAAAGAAATACTGTGAAAGCTATCTGCTGTGACACCTCCATTAAACATTTCTTTGAATGCAGAGCTGAGGAAATTTTAACTGGAGTAATTGTAACATTGAAATGTTTCACTTGGGAACACTGAAGTTGAATATTAAATGA